TTTGGTTTTTAAGTATGTTAGGTTCATTTTTCGATAAAAAGTGTGCTAATTTTAACTGTTTTGTTTCTGTATAATGCCTGTAAAGTCCTATCATGGTAAACCATGACGTCTCATTTCTTCTCAGCCCTTTCAGGTGGAACGGAAAGATGCTATGAGTATCAGAATGGTAAAGTCCTGGTTGAGAGAGGTGTGTCATTGTATCAGGGATTTATGTCAATAGTAGCATTGTTTGCTGTGATTTCTCCTCTGATTGTCCAAGTGTTCCTACTTATCTTGGACAATGCATCGTATTTGAGGACTGTTGAAGTCAATGTATAATTGAACTTTGAAGTGTTGTTAACTGGAGTCCTTCCTTTGTGTAATATAAAGCAGGGACCAATTGAATAAATTAATGTGTACTTATACCTAGATTTGGCCATATATGCCAGGCCCTTAGCCAGCTTTTGCCATAGGCCAAAGGGGGTTCAATTTTTAAAAATTTCAGACGGGTTCCAATTTGACAATTTTGGCCCAAAATCACTTCTAAAATGCTCAGAATGATGAAAAACTACATGGTTTTGAAAGAATTTTTGGCCAGATGGGGTTAATATCACCAAGAAGTGTTAAAACATTAAGAAGTGGTGACATTAGGAAATGGTTTCATAAGGAAGTGGTGACACATTGCTACAGTCACCACTTTTGGTAGTTTGATCAGCATTCGGTGTTGGTTATTAGTGTTGAGAGACAGTAGTCAAAATCTGTAACAAATCGTTACTCTTTTGTAACCATTTAGTAATTTACCAAGCGGTGGCATTTTGTAATTTTTATGCCTTGAATGTACATTTAATTAGAAAAAACATTTTAAAATGTATTCCTCCAGACAAAATCAATAAGAAAGCAAAAGGGCATTCAAAGCAACATTGAAGGATGTTGTATTTGCTGTTGTATTTGTAAAATAAATTTGATATCCATGTTATTGACATTTACCAAGTCAAACATATACTTTATTGGCCTTTATTATTACAACATCATGATAATTGATTTGATTCATTTCAAGTCATATCGGAGCACAAAAGCATTGCTGTTTAACAAAACTAAGTACACATACGATTTTGTCAAAAGAATGAATATACCATTAGAAAGGGAAAAGAATCAGATATTATATCAGATATATATGATGTAGGGATCCCACGATTGCTCGATGCACCGATATAGTTGCTAGAAATCACCTCCGATTCGATTAATCGATATGGATCCTCTATTTTCGATATTATCGATAATCGTTTTTCAAATCAACTTACCCGTTAAGTAAGTAAAAGAGCTCTATTTAAACCAAAATTGACGCAGCAAAACTCCGGGAAAAATTAAAAATTAAAAATATTTTGAAGAGCTCACATGACGCGCCACAAATTTTCGTAATTCAAACCGAACGTGAACTTTTTAGCAATAAACAGATTTTCAATAATTTTGCGAACATTTGTGATTTTAGATGCCCTATGTGCATTTCCACACCAAACATTATACCATTAATTATCTAAATACGTAATAAATGCGATAGGGCACCAGACGTATCTTTATTTTAATGTTTTAAGATGTTATAGTAGCTTTCCAATTTGCGTTATATTGAGCAAACGACAATCAAACATGACGTTCGGATATTTAATGAATAGCGAAACATCGGCGAGATTTAAATCCCGTAAATTTGCTTATATTCGTAATATGGAGAACACCATCGCGTGCAATAAACACAGTCCAAAAGGTAAGTCTGAGGTGTGGAGGTCTTTTAAAAACCCAACATTCAATAACAACACAACTTTCTATGCTCAGAAGGGTAACTTTGAATTTTTTTTTAGCGGGGGGAACCGAACCCCCCCCCCATGTATACACAGGCATTTACATGAATATGTGTATCGTATCGTTTGTATCGAATCGTTTTCATAATATCGAGATACGTATCGAATCGAAAAAAATGTATCGTGGGATCCCTAATATGATGCTAGTTACAAAAAATGATTCAACAGGAGCTATGAAGTAATTTTGACATTTTTTGAATAGTCCTCACAGAAAATCCATAAACATGTACATGTAGTTTTGACCTTGTCATATAAAGTGTAAGTAATAGACATGAAATGTGCAAACTGCTACCATTATTTGTCATTTTTATGTCACATTTTGCCATTCTTCTTAGCTCAGGAATGAAGAATGTAGCATAAAACAGTATTAGTTAAATGTAAATTGGAAAATATACATTGTAATTTGAGGTGAGGAAAAAACCTTCAATGTAAAGTGCTACATACAATTTTCCATCCAGTCACATTTGGTAAATGCCACTTTCTTAGGTGTGAATATAATTCTAACAAATCAGATAAAATGAATCATGAAATTATTAATTGGAGAATATTGTAAAGGAGCTGGTCAGATTCAGAAAGCTGACTCACTCACATTTCCAATTTTATATAGCGTTAGTTATTTCACCTTCAATGAAGGAAATCAAAGTTAGCATTTGCTCCCCAAAAATGTTTTTTAATCATTCTCATTATTATGAATCAAGTTAAATAGATTTTTATTTGTTGTTTTTAGGGTTACGCTGAACCCCTAACATACCTTGTTACGAAGTATGATATTTGTTTAAAGAAAGTTAAGTGTATCAGTTGCATTTCATTAATGATCTACCTATTTGATTTTGAAGGTGCAAACAAGATATACAGTTATCAGGTAAACATTTTGGTTTTGGGGATATTTGCATGATTTTTTTGTTTTTGCATTGGTTATTTCTTGTCATTTTTGTATTTAAGACAAATCCAAACACACAGAAGTTTTGAGAAATTAATGAATTCAAACAAAATATACTTATAAAACTTTGTAAATTTTTAATCGAGGCTAGGCAAAATAATGTACATTTATGATGTTATCTTAATGTTTGTTACTGTATTAGTTAAGTTTATCTTTTGTACTCTTATACCCTATAAAGGGTGAATTGAGAAATCAATAAATAAATAAATAAAAACAGGTATATATGGCCTGCCAGAATTGTTTTTTATCTCCAAGTTTTTGGACAGTGTTTGGCAGTTGGTGGTTAGCATTCAGCATCTGTAACAAATGGGAGGTGGTGACATTTGCATGTTAATGCCTTGTTTCATAATGGTAGATCCATGAGTTGCTTTTAATTTTGAAGGTGCGAACAAGATATACAGTAGGCAAAACAGGTTAAAGTTTTGGTTTGGGGAATATTTTCCTGATTTCGATATGTTCTGCTTTGACACTCTTGGATATGAAAGATCTAACAGAATTCGGTTTTTTCATAATGGTAGATTCTTGCATATATTTTATAAGACATGTAAGATCCTAATAACATTGAATCATTTTGCTTGCATGCTATGTCATTTTGTATTTGGATTGAAATAACTTGTTAACTAAATATGTTTTTGCTAAAGTACATGTCCTATGTAGTGTTTGTGTTAAAAGTGTTTGTTTTAAGACCATGTGCAGAATGCCTGATCTGAATTCACATTTTATTAGAAAATACTTGTACCATAACACTTAGGTAAAGATTTGGGTTTTTGATAAAAAATAGAATTTTTTGCTGAGGTATTCTTTCTTGACACCATGATGGACATATGACATCGTATGCACTTGATATGGAAGTGCATAATTTCATATTAGGTAGATTAATAACAGGAATGTCAGGTTGTCTATACATATATTTGGGCATGGGCTTTCAAGAGAAAGCCTGTGATTTGGAGAATATTTAGGGTATCTTCATAGAAATAATCATTGTTGTCAAAATTTAGAGTGCCATGAACTATATTGATATAAATAAGAGTAATTTCAAGTGTTTTAACAAATATGTTCATGTATATGCATAAAAAATCGTATAAAAACAATACCATCAGAATATTGGCATCATTTTTGTGGTGATTTTAATTCTTATCTTTGTTCATCAAACGGTTGAGTTATATGACATACAATATGGAAGCTGATTTATATTTCATTTTATGGTAAATTCAACATTATTTTATCAAATGTCTAATAAGGATTAGTCCACCCGTATAGCTCAGTGGTAGCGCAGGTACCTCTTACGCAATAGGTCCCGGATTCGATCCCCTGTTCAGGCAAGACTAAATTTGCTTGTTTGCGTGAGGTACTTCAGGGTGTTTGACTGAGTTGTCCGCAACTCATACAAAAGGCTGTGGTGTGTACTTACATAGTATGTATATGTCTATGTATAAGTGCACATAAAAGGGCTCCTTCAAGGAGGGGTTTCTGGGTCTATCTTCCATGTTAATTACGTAAATTACGACCGTATATATGGGACATACCCAAGAGGTATTGCTCACCTTCATTGGTGGTAAACAAAATACAATACAATACAATTAGAGTCAGCCATAAGAAGGAAATCTGACTTGAAAAGGCTGATTTTATATTTCATTTTGTGATAAATTTCATCGTCACTTTCCACTGGGTCTAGAGACAGGAACAATCGAAACCTTGTAAATCAAGATGGGTAAATTTAGCATCACTTATCAAGTTATCATTAGCCATATATGGATAACTACGATTGATAACATTGGAGCAAGCCATACAATGTCAAACAATGGAAAACATCAATAACTCAATAGAGAAAGCAGATAATATGTTTTATAACAGGATCTCGAACAGAATAGGATTATAGTTATCATTAGAATAAATTGAAGCATTCTTGTAATAATACCAATTGTCGATGTCCTTATAAAGAAACTATAAAACTGTGTGCTTCTTGATCACATTCATCAAGATCATTACGATTATTATTACCTTCAACATCATTACTTTATATGGGCATTGCCATATATGGCCAATGAACCTTCAGTGATTTCCCATGGTGCATTTTTCATTGTTCACCATTTGTTCGAATCCAATAATAATTTGAAAAATGTAATGCATATCTCCAAACATGATATTAGCAAGAATGACAAATTCTAAATATATTGAGCATTTGAGCTCATGTTTGAACCTTAGATTGTGCTTTTGTTTATTTTCAGTGTAACCATGATGAGGGTATTGCTGTCCTGTTGCTTGGTTGCCATGGTGATGTCAGACATTGACTTTGGTTACCATGACTACGATGCATTGACAGCAGCAATGAGAGCTATTGAACAAAACAACTCTGGGATTGCCTACATGTACTCAGCAGGGAAATCTGTGCAAGGTATGTGGCAAGTGCAAAGTCAGGAGCAAGGAGTTTGCAAGAGGGAATTCAGGTACAAAGGAGATTGTAAGCAGGAATTTGGGTGCAAGGGAGGTAGCAAGTAGGAATTCAAGTGCAAGGGATTTTGTAAGTGGGAATTTGGGTGCAAGGAAGTGTGCAAGTTGGTATTCTGGTGCAAGGGAGGTTGCAAGTGGGAATTCAGGTGCAAGGAGGCTACAGATCTTATATCACTGAATAGAGAAGATGTATCATGAAATAGAGAAAATGTATCATAGAAGAGAAGAAGTATTAGGGAATAGAGAAGATGTATCATGGATTAGAGAAGGTTATCATGGAATAGAGAATATGTATCATGGAAAAGAGAAGATATATCATGAAATAGAAAAATGTATCATGGAAAAGAGAAGATGTATCATGGAATAGAGAATATGTATCATGGAATAGAGATGATGTATCATGAAATAAAGAATTATCATGGAATAGAGAAGATGTATCATGAAATAAAGAAGATGAATCATAAATAGAGAAGATGTATCATGGATTAGAGAAGATGTATCATGAAATAGAGAAGATTTATCATGGAATAAAGAAGATGTATCATGGAATAGAGAAGATGTATCATGGAATAGAGATGATGCATCATGGAATAGAGAAGATGTATAATGGAATAGAGAAGATGTATCATGGAATAGAGAATATGTATCATGGAATAGAGAAGATGTATCATGGAATAGAGAAGATGTATCATGGAATAGAGATGATGCATCATGGAATAGAGAAGATGTATCATGGAATAGAGAAGATGTATCATTGAATAGAGAAGATGTATCATGGAATAGAAAAGATGTATCATGAAATAGAGAATATGTATCATGGAATAGAGAAGATGTATCATTGAATAGAGAAGATGTATCATGAAATAAAGAAGATGAATCATAAATAGAGAAGATGTATCATGGATTAGAGAAGATGTATCATGGAATAGAGAAGATGTATCATGAAATAAAGAAGATGAATCATAAATAGAGAAGATGTATCATGGATTAGAGAAGATGTATCATGAAATAGAGAAGATTTATCATGGAATAAAGAAGATGTATAATGGAATAGAGAATATGTATCATGGAATAGAGAAGATGTATCATGGAATAGAGAAGATGAATCATAAATAGAGAAGATGTATCATGGAAAAGAGAAGATGTATAATGGAATAGAGAAGATTTATCATGGAATAAAGAAGATGTATAATGGAATAGAGAATATGTATCATTGAATAGAGAAGATATATCATGGAATAGAGAAGATGTATCATGGAATAGAGAAGATGTATAACGGAATAGAGAAGATGTATAATGGAATAGAGAAGATGTTTCATGGAATAGAGAAGATGTATAACGGAATAGAGAAGATGTATCATGGAATAGAGAATATGTATCATGGAATAGAGAAGATGTATCATGGAATAGAGAAGATGTATCATGGAATAGAGAAGATGTATCATGGAATAGAGAATATGTATCATGGAATAGAGATGATGCATCATGGAATAGAGAAGATGTATCATGGAATAGAAAAGATGTATCATGGAATGTAGAAGATGTATCATGGAATTGAGAATATGTATCATGGAATAGAGAATGTGTATCATGGAATAGAGAAGATGTATCATGGAATAGAGAAGATGTATCATGGAATGGAGAATATGTATCATGGAATAGAGAAGATGTATCATGGAATAGAGAAGATGCATCATGGAATAGAGAATATGTATCATGGAATAGAGAAGATGTATCATGGAATAGAGATGATGCATCATGGAATAGAGAAGATGTATCATGGAATAGAAAAGATGTATCATGGAATGTAGAAGATGTATCATGGAATTGAGAATATGTATCATGGAATAGAGAATGTGTATCATGGAATAGAGAAGATGTATCATGGAATAGAGAAGATGTATCATGGAATGGAGAATATGTATCATGGAATAGAGAAGATGTATCATGGAATAGAGAAGATGCATCATGGAATAGAGAAGATGTATCATGGAATAGAGAAGATGTATCATGGAATAGAGAAGATGTATCATGGAATAGAGAAGATGTATCATGGAATAAAGAAGATGAATCATAAATAGAGAAGATGTATCATGGATTAGAGAAGATGTATCATGAAATAGAGAAGATTTATCATGGAATAAAGAAGATGTATCATGGAATAGAGAAGATGTATCATGGAATAGAGAAGATGTATCATGGAATAGAGAAGATGTATCATGGAATAGAGAAGATGTATCATGGAATAGAGAATGTGTATCATGGAATGTAGAAGATGTATCATGGAATTGAGAATATGTATCATGGAATAGAGAAGATGCATCATGGAATAGAGAAGATGTATCATGGAATAGAGAAGATGTATCATGGAATAGAGAAAATGTATCATTGAATAGAGAAAATATATCATGGAATAGAGAAGATGCATCATGGAATAGAGAATGTGTATCATGGAATAGAGAAGATGTATCATGGAATAGAGAAGATGTATCATGGAATAGAGAAGATGCATCATGGAATAGAGAAAATGTATCATTGAATAGAGAAAATATATCATGGAATAGAGAAGATGCATCATGGAATAGAGAAGATGTATCATGGAATAGAGAATGTGTATCATGGAATAGAGAATGTGTATCATGGAATAGAGAAAATATATCATGGAATAGAGAAGATGTATCATGGAATAGAGAAGATGTATCATGGAATGTAGGAGATGTATCATGAAAGAGAAGATGTATCATGGAATAAAGAATGTGAATCATGGAATAGAGAAGATGGGAGACACACTTTTACTGTATTGCACATTGACAATAGTGATGTCTCACAGTCTAGATCTACTATATAATTATTTTATTTGCACATTGTATAATCTGAGTTGCATTTTTTAGGGCGTGACCTCTGGGTGATGACCTTGGGAGAGAAACCACTTCAGCACCTCCCCCTCAGGCCAGAAGTGAAATATGTTGGCAATATGCATGGGAATGAGGTATGCTTCCTAAATGTTGAGATTGTTCCAAAAAACATAACAGTATTTAATTCATGTAAGCCTTTGATAAATAGAGGATATTTACTGGGATGAATTTAATATGGGTTTTACACCAAGGGCAGGCCCGTAGCCAGGGGGGTTCGGGGGTTCGGGCGAACCCCCCTTGGCCAAAATTTCTTTCAAAATCATGCAGTTTTTCACCATTCTGACTTATTTTTTGAGTGATTTTTGGCCAAATTTGCTAAAGTGAACCCCCCCTAGAATTTTTTGGAAAAGTGAACCCCCTTGGAAAATTCTGGCTACGTGCCTGAAGGGCCAATATGATTTTTCTGGTGTTATATTCACCTGGAGTATCCTTGTATGAACATGTAATTATGTGTGAACTGAAAAAAGGTTCAAAAAACTTAAAACAAAACATGAAAAATGTACATTTCTTTCAAAAATATACTCTTGTGTTCCAGGTTGTAGGCAGAGAAATGTTGCTCCATCTGATCGATTACCTAGCAACTGGTTACGGCACAAACGATACCATAACAACGATGTTTAGAGAGTCCCGCATTCACATTATGCCTACAATGAACCCGGATGGCTTTGAGTATGCCTACCATAACCAAAGTCAGGAAGGGAATTGTGGGGGCATTGTAGGGAGGTTGGTACATTGCCATTCATTTAATGTAATGACCTATTACATGTATATGCCTACCATAACCAAAGCCAGGAAGGACATGTGGTGGTATTGTAGGGAGGTTGGTACACTACCATTAATTATTGTAATGACCTATTACATGTATATGCCTACCATAACCAAAGCCAGGAAGGGAATTGTGGGGGCATTGTAGGGAGGTTGGTACATTGCCATTCATTTAATGTAATGACCTATTACATGTATATGCCTACCATAACCAAAGCCAGGAAGGGAATTGTGGGGGCATTGTAGGGAGGTTGGTACATTGCCATTCATTTAATGTAATGACCTATTACATGTATATGCCTACCATAACCAAAGCCAGGAAGGGAATTGTGGGGGCATTGTAGGGAGGTTGGTACAGTACCATTCATTTAATGTAATGACCTATTACATGTATATGCCTACCATAACCAAAGCCAGGAAGGGAATAGTGGGGGCATTGTAGGGAGGTTGGTACACTGCCATTCATTTAATGTAATGACCTATTACATGTATATGCCTACCATAACCAAAGCCAGGAAGGGAATTGTGGGGGCATTGTAGGGAGGTTGGTACATTGCCATTCATTTAATGTAATGACCTATTACATGTATATGCCTACCATAACCAAAGCCAGGAAGGGAATTGTGGGGGCATTGTAGGGAGGTTGGTACAGTACCATTCATTTAATGTAATGGCCTATTACATGTATATGCCTACCATAACCAAAGTCAGGAAGGGAATTGTGGGGGAATTGTAGGGAGGTTGGTACACTGCCATTCATTTAATGTAATGACCTATTACATGTATATGCCTACCATAACCAAAGTCAGGAAGGGAATTGTGGGGGCATTGTAGGGAGGTTGGTACAGTACCATTCATTTAATGTAATAACCTATTACATGTATATGCCTACCATAACCAAAGCCAGGAAGGGAATTGTGGGGGCATTGTAGGGAGGTTGGTACATTGCCATTCATTTAATGTAATGACCTATTACATGTATATGCCTACCATAACCAAAGCCAGGAAGGGAATTGTGGGGGCATTGTAGGGAGGTTGGTACAGTACCATTCATTTAATGTAATAACCTATTACATGTATATGCCTACCATAACCAAAGCCAGGAAGGGAATTGTGGGGGCATTGTAGGGAGGTTGGTACAGTACCATTCATTTAATGTAATAACCTATTACATGTATATGCCTACCATAACCAAAGCCAGGAAGGGAATTGTGGGGGCATTGTAGGGAGGTTGGTACACTGCCATTCATTTAATGTAATGACCTATTACATGTATATGCCTACCATAACCAAAGCCAGGAAGGGAATTGTGGGGGCATTGTAGGGAGGTTGGTACAGTACCATTCATTTAATGTAATGACCTATTACATGTATATGCCTACCATAACCAAAGCCAGGAAGGGAATTGTGGGGGCATTGTAGGGAGGTTGGTACATTGCCATTCATTTAATGTAATGACCTATTACATGTATATGCCTACCATAACCAAAGCCAGGAAGGGAATTGTGGGGGCATTGTAGGGAGGTTGGTACACTGACATTCATTTAATGTAATGACCTATTACATGTATATGCCTACCATAACCAAAGCCAGGAAGGGAATAGTGGGGGCATTGTAGGGAGGTTGGTACATTGCCATTCATTTAATGTAATGACCTATTACATGTATATGCCTACCATAACCAAAGCCAGGAAGGGAATTGTGGGGGCATTGTAGGGAGGTTGGTACACTGCCATTCATTTAATGTAATGACCTATTACATGTATATGCCTACCATAACCAAAGCCAGGAAGGGAATAGTGGGGGCATTGTAGGGAGGTTGGTACATTGCCATTCATTTAATGGAATGACCTATTACATGTATATGCCTACCATAACCAAAGCCAGGAAGGGAATAGTGGGGGCATTGTAGGGAGGTTGGTACAGTACCATTCATTTAATGTAATGACCTATTACATGTATATGCCTACCATAACCAAAGTCAGGAAGGGAATTGTGGGGGCATTGTAGGGAGGTTGGTACAGTACCATTCATTTAATGTAATGACCTATTACATGTATATGCCTACCATAACCAAAGTCAGGAAGGGAAATGTGGGGGCATTGTAGGGAGGTTGGTACATTGCCATTCATTTAATGTAATGACCTATTACATGTATATGCCTACCATAACCAAAGCCAGGAAGGGAATTGTGGGGGCATTGTAGGGAGGTTGGTACATTGCCATTCATTTAATGTAATAACCTATTACATGTATATGCCTACCATAACCAAAGTCAGGAAGGGAATTGTGGGGGCATTGTAGGGAGGTTGGTACATTGCCATTCATTTAATGTAATGACCTATTACATGTATATGCCTACCATAACCAAAGCCAGGAAGGGAATAGTGGGGGCATTGTAGGGAGGTTGGTACACTGCCATTCATTTAATGTAATGACCTATTACATGTATATGCCTACCATAACCAAAGCCAGGAAGGGAATTGTGGGGGCATTGTAGGGAGGTTGGTACATTGCCATTCATTTAATGTAATGACCTATTACATGTATATGCCTACCATAACCAAAGCCAGGAAGGGAATTGTGGGGGCATTGTAGGGAGGTTGGTACACTACCATTCATTTAATGTAATGACCTATTACATGTATATGCCTACCATAACCAAAGCCAGGAAGGGAATTGTGGGGGCATTGTAGGGAGGTTGGTACAGTACCATTCATTTAATGTAATGACCTATAACATGTATAGGCCTACCATAACCAAAGCCAAGAAGGGAATTGTGGGGGCATTGTAGGGAGGTTGGTACAGTACCATTCATTTAATGTAATGACCTATTACATGTATATGCCTACCATAACCAAAGTCAGGAAGGGAATTGTGGGGGCATTGTAGGGATGTTGGTACAGTTCCATTCATTTAATTTAATGACCTATTACATGTATATGCCTACCATAACCAAAGCCAAGAAGGGAATTGTGGGGGCATTGTAGGGAGGTTGGTACAGTACCATTCATTTAATGTAATGACCTATTACATGTATATGCCTACCATAACCAAAGCCAAGAAGGGAATTGTGGGGGCATTGTAGGGAGGTTGGTACAGTACCATTCATTTAATGTAATGACCTATTACATGTACATGCCTACCATAACCAAAGTCAGGAAGGGAATTGTGGGGGCATTGTAGGGAGGTTGGTACACTGACATTCATTTAATGTAATGACCTATTACATGTATATTCCTACCATAACCAAAGCCAGGAAGGGAATTGTGGGGGCGTTGTAGGGAGGTTGGTACACTGACATTCATTTAATGTAATGACCTATTACATGTATATGCCTACCATTACCAAAGTCAGGGAGGTAATTGTGGGGGCATTGTAGGGAGGTTGGTACAGTACCATTCATTTAATGTAATGACCTATTACATGTATATGCCTACCATAACCAAAGTCAGGAAGGGAATTGTGGGGGCATTGTAGGGAGGTTGGTATACTGCCATTCATTTAATGTAATGACCTATTACATGTATATGCCTACCATAACCAAAGCCAGGAAGGGAATTGTGGGGGCATTGTAGGGAGGTTGGTACACTGCCATTCATTTAATGTAATGACCTATTACATGTATATGCCTACCATAACCAAAGTCAGGAAGGGAATTGTGGGGGCATTGTAGGGAGGTTGGTACAGTACCATTCATTTAATGTAATGACCTATTACATGTATATGCCTACCATAACCAAAGTCAGGAAGGGAATTGTGGGGGCATTGTAGGGAGGTTGGTACATTGCCATTCATTTAATATACTGGCCTATTACATGTATATGCCTACGATAACCAAAGTCAGGAGGTGACATGTGGGGGCATTGTAGGGAGGTTGGTACAGTACCATTCATTTAATGTAATGACCTATTACATGTATATGCCTACCATAACCAAAGCCAGGAAGGGAAGTGTGGGGGCATTGTAGGGAGGCTGGTACAGTACCATTCATTTAATGTAATGACCTATTACATGTATATGCCTACCATAACCAAAGCCAGGAAGGGAATTGTGGGGGCATTGTAGGGAGGTTGGTACATTGCCATTCATTTGATGTAATGACCTATTACATCTATATGCCTACCATGACCAAAACCAAGAAGGGAATTGTGGGGGCATTGTAGGGAGGTTGGTACAGTACCATTCATTTAATGTAATGACCTATTATGTGTATATGCCTACCATAACCAAAGCCAGGAAGGGAATTGTCGGGGCATTGTAGGGAGGTTGGTACATTGCCATTCATTTAATGTAATGACCTATTACATGTATATGCCTACCATAACCAAAATCAGGAAGGGAATTGTGGGGGCATTGTAGGGAGGTTGGTACATTGCCATTCATTTAATGTAATGACCTATTACATGTATATGCCTACCATAACCAAAGTCAGGAAGGGAATTGTGGGGGCATTGTAGGGAGGTTGGTACACTGCCATTCATTTAATGTAATGACCTATTACATGTATATGCCTACCATAACCAAAGCCAGGAAGGGAATTGTGGGGGCATTGTAGGGAGGTTGGTACATTGCCATTCATTTAATGTAATGACCTATTACATGTATATGCCTACCATAACCAAAGCCAGGAAGGGAATTGTGGGGGCATTGTAGGGAGGTTGGTACAGTACCATTCATTTAATGTAATGACCTATTACATGTATATGCCTACCATAACCAAAGCCAGGAAGGGAATTGTGGGGGCATTGTAGGGAGGTTGGTACATTGCCATTCATTTAATGTAATGACCTATTACA